CCTGCATTTAAGCGGCAGGGCCGGCCAGCGCGGCCCGACCCCGCGGGCTGCCCGTCCCAGGCGCCTTCCTCGCTCCTCTCCCTCCTCTTCCTCCTCCTCCGGCCGCGGAGCCGGGACCGGTCGCTGCTCCCGCCCGGCGCTCGCCGGGCTCTCCCGCGCCTCACACCCCGCGATCCTCCGATACGGATTGAAGATGCAATTGGCTGGGGAAAGGAAAGCGCTGCCCGGCCGCCTGCCATGGCCAGGAAATGAGCCGTCATGGGCCCCGGGGGGGCTGCGCAGCCCGGCCCGCCCGAGCGGGGGGCAGGGAGCCCCGACCCTCCGGACCCCGGCCGGAGCCCGGGAACCGGCCCGAGGATGCTCAGGTTTTGATGTGATCACTAAGGGAACACGCACCCGCCAGGGAGATTTCCCTTCTGGTGATGCTGCGGGTGGGATGGAGGGGCTGGGCAGCAGCTGCTCTGTGTGCCCTGGGGTCATCGCTCGTCTCTCCTACCGTCTTCCAGAGGAGGTCCCAGACATGCTTGTTCTCCTTTCAGAAAGCATGGGACAGGTGACTGAAGGGAAAACATTATTAGAAAATATGCAAGTGCCCCAATCCTGAAAATTCACCCTCGTTCAGGGGGAGATGCTGCCAGAGGCCCTAAGCACTCCCTGTGCCCAGTGGAAGGGGTACACGCTGGGCTGGCCAGGGGGTCTCCTTGTGTTCCTCTCTCCTCAAGTTCTCTTTAGTAGGGTGAGGATAAAAGGAGACAGCTCAGCTGCTGATCAGCACAGGTTTCTCAGGGTGGGTGGGAGGAAAGGGCAACTCCCTGTGCAAGGAGGGTTGGATGGGGTCTGCTAGATCCCTCTGCGCTGGGCAGCCACAGCTCCCACTGCAAGGTGTGGTCTAGTGCAGGATCCCTACTTAGTGCTTGTCTGCCAGGCTGACATGAGAGCCCTGTGAGGATTTGGGTGGCCAAAGCCCCAGGCAGAGGACTGAGTGGGAGAGGGACTGGGCTTTCTTGGACCTTGGCTGTGGGGGACCTGCTCCCACTGGGGCTTTCCAACAAGTGTGGTGCTGTTTGGAGCAGCCATGTGAAAGCCTCCATGTGACATTAGGGTTTCCTACTTGCACACCTCAGAGGGGATTTCTGGGATTTAGATCAGGCCTTGGCAAGAGAAGGTGCAATCTGCATGGACTCCAGGGTCCATCTTTGGTTCAGGGTGCAACAAGGTCTCCAGCTTCCCTGACTTCTGGTGCATCTCTTGAAGCTTCAGCAATGGGCATCAGATGAAGGGACAGAGTGAGAGAGGTCAGTGAAGACATAGTGCCTTATGAATGTTTGATCTCACGTAGGTTTTGCAGCCTGCTGTGGTGCTGGGGGTGCCTGAAAGCATGGTTACAGTTCATCTGCTCAGGCAGCCTACAAAATGCTTCCCCTCCACCCCATCTGAGCTGCTCCTGGGCTTTGCCAAATCCCCTCTGCTGTACCAGCTCAGCATTGTGTTGGGGTGTCCCTGTTGAAAATGGGATGCCCAGTGGCAAAATTTCTTCCTGTCCACATTGCTTCCTGGCAGTTTTATTCCTCAAAGCATTAAAAAGGTCTCATGGTAATGTAAACATATAATTTTGCCTTTTCGTTTCTTCAAACCTTTATTTAAATTATTTTTGAGCTCTTGGCCCAGTGACCTGTTTTGGCAGGACAGCATATGGGACATATGCTCATATAAAATGAGTTGAACTTCGAGCGATTTAAAATATATCACACTAGTTGCATTGATTGAAATCCAGGTCTGGAGTTCTTCCCAAACATTGACAGTTTTGGCTTTGCAGTATAGGTCAAGTGGTCAGTCCTGGAATAAGAAACAGGTGTTTATTTTCAGCATCTATAATAAACAGTGAAGAGCTTTCAGATTCCTTCTTTTTGAAAGGAAAATCTTAAAATACTGAGAGGTTGGGTTTTTTTAACATAAACTGCACCTCAAGAAATACAGTGACACATATGACAAAATGCCCAGCATTAAGAAAGTGTTTAATCAGATTTTTACAAACCTTACTTATCTGAAAGCCATCTGGTTCTTCTTCCCCTGAGAGCCCATTGCAAGCAATGCTTTCTCTTGCTGCGCTGCAAACATCCCCTCCGCAAGGGAAAAGGTTTCTCTTGAGCAGAAATACACTGGGGGTGAAATGGCAGCAGAGGGTGAGTGCTTTGGGCAGGGTGGGAGCCTGTTGGCAGGGCAGGGGAGCAGCAGAGAGCAGGGGGGATTTTGGGGGCAGGGAGCATGGCCATGGTGAGCTGCACCACAGGGGCTGGTGTTGGGGACCATGGGAACAGCCCCATCAACAGGTGACTGCATTTGACTTCACAGAGTGACAATGATATCTGTGTTACTGATTAACAGCCAGTCTAACCAGTTTTCACCTCGATGCTTGGCCCCTCTGAGTCCCCCCATCATCTGCCTGCCCCTCAGCACCCCAGACACATGGGGGATGAGCTTCTGCAGATCTCTTCTTCTGTTGGGGATGGGGTTTGAGGAGAAAGTTCCGGACAAGCTGGTGGTGGGTCCTAGGCTTTGGTGCTTGGGCATCAGTGCAAGGCTTTGGCCTACTGCTGAGTAGGAGCAAAGAGAAGTGCCCTGCCTGGCTCTGCTGCAGAGATGCTGATTTGGTAGCTAACTCTGAGTAACTGTACAGGAAAGCCAGACTGGAGTGTTAATCCTGAGATATGCCTTGGCATATTCATGATGCATTTTTCTAACAAAGCTTTTTACTGAAAACCTGCCCAACCACATTCAAGTGTGCCTAATGATGTCTCTCTAGGTTACAGATGTTTTGTCCATTAATGCTGCTCTTATGATTTTATTTTTCTTTGCTTGTCAAATAGCAGGTTTAGGAAACACAAATGTATCAAGAAATATAGTACAGGCTGTAAGAAATTAGTTTTTCCTTATTTATTTAGAAAGTGCCCTTAAACTAGAAGGCTCTGGGTGTGATTTACAAGCTTTGTAAAAGATTCAGTTCATCATCCCTAAAGTGCTATAGACTCCTGCAGACTTCTGTTACTACATGTTCAGTATATTAAGCTTTCCCTTCCCTTATCTTTGCTTATTTCCATTATTTTAAGGTTGTTTGTTTTTCTTCTTCTTTTTGCCATCTGAGCATCTCTCAAGTTTGTCTGGAAGGCCTGATTTCTCTTTCTGGTCTCATTAATAATAGAACAAAACCACATTAACAACTGCAACAACAGCCAGATAGGAGCCAGAGAGCTCCTTTTGCTCTCTAATATGCTGCATGAGCACTCTGAAATGCACTCTTTATACAGAGGGGTTTATTTTTCTTTTTTTTTTTTTTTTCCTTCACCCTTTTCCTGATGTCTTTTTGGACTCAGCAAAATGCTTGACCTTCTCTTTTGCTGAAGAAAAGCAAAAATACCCAGGACTCAAACATTCGCAGAGTTTCCAGACCTGCAACAGCTGTTTTGAGGTAATTTCATCCTGCAAGAAACTGTGGGAGAAAACTCGGCTAAGAAGTGTTAGCAGGCATCTGCAGGGCATTGCATCTGCAGGGTCAGAGGGCTGTGGAGGCTGCTCAGCATTGCCTTCATATGCTTGATGCTTTTGATCCATGCAGTGAGCTGGCAAACAGCTGGCAGAGAGCAGGATAGAGCTGCAGGCTTCTGAATGGGAACAGAAATGTACTCCAGGCACAGGTATAGAAGAAAAATAAGGAACATCCTGCTGGGCCCTCCTCTTTCACAAGAAGTTGATGGTCCTGGATTATCTTATTTTGGTCTTCTAGAAGTGAAAAGAACATTCACTGTGAGGTCCTATGTGTAAAAACATTCCTTCCATCCATAAAAGATGAAAAGAAACAAGTCTTTTTCAGCACCTGAAGCAGGACCTGGCCAAATCTGCACTTTGTCAGTGGTTTATTTTCGCCTCTTAATTCTTCCAGTAGAGGCACAGTACAAAAAGCCCTTCTCTTATTTCAAATCAATCAGTATCTATAAGAGGAGAGACCATGGGTAATCCTGGTCCATCAGCATTCCTTCACTTTTGAAGCTATCTAGGTTGCCTGAGTGTCCTTGTGGTTTTGGTCTGTGGTTTCTGGGGTTGGAAAATAAAGGAAAAAATGAAATGAAGTGAAGCTCGACCTTGAGAGATGCAGAAATGTGTATCTGAGGATGCATGGATGCTCAGTAGAAGGGAGACATTTGGAAAGAGCTTTTATCAAATGGGAGATTATCAAAGCACATCTTACACTGGGGATAGCTGGGTGATTGTATTTGCCCATGAAGCACTGCTTGGTGGCAAAAATTAAATAGGCTTCCACTGTGTGGCATTAAAATTCTTCCAAGATGGTACATTCTCAGCCTTCTATACTATTCTGTATTTACAGAGATCACAATACCCCCAGTTTCTTAAAACAGGAAACCAAAGCACAAAGTTGCTTTTTCTAGGAAGTTTATGGGAAAATAGAGAAAAATATCCCTGCTTTCTTGCATCCCTGAAGTTGCCTTTATCCCTTCCAGATGGTGTGGCAAGAGCACAGGGTACAGCCAGCACAGGGACAGTGGCTGTAGCCTTGTGCTACAGTAGCAGGACACATTATATGACCACTGCAATTCATTGAGCTCCTCATTAGTGTTGTTTTTGTTTTTTTTCTCTATCTCTGCCTTCCCTCCTCCTTCTTTTTCCAGTTCATCATGCTCAATGCCTCTGCCTGCAGATGATGCCTGAGACATCAGGCAGTTCATTATCAGCCCTAGCTGCAAGTTTTGTGCCACAAGCAATGCCAAGAAAAACTGCTTGACCCAGAGAAGGAGCTATGGCACCAATCAGGGCAGGTGTGACAGCCATGAAAACATACTCAAATCCTGCAAACTTAGAAGTAAATCTTGTAGGAGTTGGCTAGAAAGGCTTTCTGGTATGGCTCTACCACCAAGATCTTCCCAGGGACCACAGGAAGGCAATGGCAGCATCCATGCCTCACTTTCATGGCAGCTGCTGGGTCAGGATTTCCAGCCTGGTACAGTCAGTGCATGTCTCCAGGGACCTTGGAGACACTGTGTCCGGTGACACAGCTGGGCTGGCTCTCCCAGAAAGCTGTATATGTCACTCCAAGGCTTGCCTCTCAGATTTTATAGTACAGCTCTATAAATCAAAGAGGCTTAAAGAATTTCCGGCATCACCCTGCAGGTAAAACTGTTATCAGAAACTTGTTTTGGTTCATCTAAAGCTGCTGAAGAATTTGAATCCTGTTTGCTAACAGTCCCAAGGCCCTGAAGACTATATTCACTGTCCTTGGACTATGTGTTGCAGCCAAAATAATAGCACTTCTGATAATAGTAATGCACTTCTGATTAAATAAAACTATTTATGTTCCAGTCTGGCCAGGACACCAGGAGGTCAGTCACTCAGAACCCTTCACCTCAAATCAGTGTCTGAATTTATTGCCTATTGTCTAGAAAAGGGCTTCATTAGAATTACACTACACA